TTATTTTTAAAAAATGGTACAAATAGAAAATAAGATATTATCCGACATTCAATCAAATAAAAAGACTTAGTTCTTTTTCAAATGCATTTATTTCTTATAAATAATATTAACAGTTCCTATAACAGTTGCCAAATAGAAATAAGTTCTTGAAAATTAAAATTACTAAAATCTTAGCTAAAATCAACAATTCTCAAGAAAGATTAAATGATTTAGTGATGTTGTCATTAGAAAAAAAAATTATTAGAAAAAATCAATAATAAGAAAATTATTTACAACTTTATATTTGAAAAGGCAAGAAAAAAAATACTATTTTTTGGGAAAAATATTTTTAACTTTTTAAATTTACGGCCCACTGTCACGACCCCAAACCCGGTCGTGATGGCGCCCAACACTAATGCTAGGCAAGACCGACCATTTACTCTCTCAACCCGAGCACAAAGCTCAAAACCAATTAATCAGATACTTAAAATCAAATATTAATACTCATAGTTGAAATACTCAATTAAAACAATACGAAATACTGACATAAACTGTAACTCCCAAAGACCTGGGGTCATGAGTCTAGAGCCTCTAACTAATACAGAGTCAAGACTCCTCAAAATAAGTATGTTCTAAAGTACGGAAATAATAAAGGGATAAGGGAGGAGTCGGGTCCTGCGGACATCATAGCAGCTACCTCGACCACTCCTGGAACTCTGAAAACCAGCGGCTAGCTCAACTAAGCTCCCGAAGTACCTGAATCTGCACACAAGGTGCAGGGAGTAGGGGGTGAGTACTACCAACTCAGTGAGTAATAAGCATATAAAATGTCTGAAGATAAGAAATCCACGAAATGCCACAAAGTAAAGCTAAAACTAACAGTCCAACACCTAATTACGAACTAACAGCAAAACAACTCCAAATATATCAGTCAAGTATAATGTAAAGATGCAATGCAATGCACATGACCGCTACGGCGCGTAGCCCGATCCATTTAACGTCGACGGCGCTCACTAGGGGTGTGTACAGACTCCGGAGGGGCTCCTTCAGCCCAAGCACAATATAATCATACCATTCGCTGCGGCGTGCAGCCCGATCCATACTCAGTCCACAATATGCATATGAGTCACGTAACAGATTCAATTAATTTTCCAATTTCCAATTTATTAAGGAGAATATACTTTAGATATTTAACTTCAGAAAAAGTGACTTAGCTTTTCATAACAGTGATTAAACCCAGGACTGAGATCAATGATTATACAAAGCATGCTATCACAATGACATTCATCCTCTAAGGATGCTACAGATCGGCACAAGGCCCCAAACACCGCAATAAGCCCAGATATATTCAATACAGGGTGCGTATCAGTCGCCAATATAGAAACATTCTTGTTCGGGATGGACTAAGTCTCAATCCCCAGTCATAACTAATCCCGCACCTGCCATGGGGTGCGAGTCACGCCCTACAATAGCGTCACAATGTGATAAGCCGGGGTTTCAAATCCTCAAGCCATCATATACACCAACTACTCACCTCTAACCGGCCGTAGACTGGTCCGCAATGCCTTTTCCCTTTGTATCGACCTCCTCGCGGGTCGAATCTAGTCAAAATCACAGCGAATACATAAATATGGGTTAAAGAAACATAACCCAATCAAAAATACTCGAAAAGTACTAAAATTCATGAAGTTGGTAAAACCCGAGCCCCGGGCCCACTTCTCGAAAAATTCCTAAAATCACACCAACGGATTCTTCGTCTCGCCACGAGTCCGTACATATAAAGTTTACCAAAATCGGAGCTCGTTTGACCCTCCAAATTCCATTTTTACATCACAGCTTTCCAAGCCCTAGCTTGACCCGTTTTTTGATGAATTTTCTACAATTTACATGTTATTTCTACCATAAATTCGAATATTTAGGCCAAGGAACTTACCTCCAAGTGATTCTCAGTCAAAACCCTCGAATATCCTTGCTCAAAGCTCTTATGAACGTCAACAATGGAGGAAAAATATGAAAGGGTCGCGGATGAAATATTATTTTAAAACCCTTCTGTCGCCCAGCCCAATTTCCCCTTCTGCGGTCCCGTAACCGCTTATGCATGACCGCTTCTGCGGCCATATGACCGCTTATGCGGTTTTTCATTAAAACTCAAGGGCCGCTTCTGCGACACCAATTTCCGCTTCTGCGGAAGCTCACCTCCTGGCCAAACCCGCTTCTGCAACCGCCTGTCCGCTTCTGCGGACTCGCTTAAGCGAAAAGTGTCCCGCTTCTGCGGAACTGCCCAACTCCACTCCAGACCGCTTATGCGATCTCTTAGCCGCATCTGCGGAACCGCTTCTGCGGCTCCTTTTCCGCAGATGCGGAAATACCAGAAGCCAGGTGCACCAGACCTGCAACAAACATCAAGATTCTCCGTTTAACCACCCGAAATCACTCCGAGGCCCCCGGGACCTCAACCAATAGCACCAACACACCCCAAAGCCTTATTCAAACTTGCTCCAATCATCAAAACACTATCGTTAACATCAAAATCATCGAATTACCACGGATTCAAGCCTAAGTTAAACTAAAACTTCCGAAACTTGCATTTGATCTAAAACCCGTCCTAAACACCTCCGAATGATCTGAAACTTTGCACGCATATCCAAAATCACCTAACGGAGCTACTGCAACTCTCAGGAATTCCATTCCGACCCTCGGATCAAAATCTCACCTACCATCCGGAATTCACCAAAATCCAACCTTAGCCAATTCAAGCCTAATTCTACACCGGACCTCCAAATTCAATTCCGATTGCACTCCTAAGTCACAAATCATCCCCCGAAACTACTCGAATCATCGGAAATCCATTCCAAGCCTTCCAACTCATAAGTCAACATTTGGTTGACTTTTCCAAACTAACCTTCTCATAAAGAGACTTATTGTCTCATTTCTAACCGAACGCTAACCGAATTACTTCAAATTCTCCAAACACATATAATGAAACATATAGAAGCATAAAACGGGAAAAACGGGGCGGTAACTCCCGTAACGACGGGTCGGGTCGTTACACCCACAATTTTTTTTTGGCTTTAGACCACTAAAATGCTTGAGCCGTCCCTGCGTATGATTTTAAACTAATGATGTGGGGAATGTAGCAAAATGCCATTGAATCTTGTGGTATTAATATGCTAGAGGAATATTAAAATTAAAAAATCTATCTATAATTAAAAGGAGAAGAAAAAGCATTCTTATTTTGCCAAGTGGCATCATCAGAATATGCCACATGACACTTTAGGACAATTCCAAAAAAATAGGAGCTATCAAATTATTTTAAAGAAACTACTTCATAATTTCAGATTTTTTTATTTATTAGAAAATTAAATATTCTTTATTTGTAAAAAAAAATTAACTGATTTTTGAGTCTTTAACTTTAGAAAATAAATTTGATTTAGATTATTATTTAAAAATTAAACATTGAACATTTTAAAACGTACGTTTTCTACTCTTTAAAACATAAATTTTAAAAAATTAATTGATTCAAAATTATTTGATTATCTACTTTTGAACCATGAAGACCATATTTAAGGAAAAGAACTTTATTTAATTCAATTTTCATATTTCTTTAATTTTAAAAATTTAAGGGACTTTAATCATACTTTGTTTACTCCTTAGCCTTTAAAAAAGAAAGCTGATTTATATTATTTAAAATTTCACAATTTGAACCCATTTTCCCTTAATTTCCTTTGCAAAACCTACCCTAAGGATAGTGGACAGTGCTCAACGCCTCAACAACACGATTGAAATTCACGCACGACCGAAACTCACGAAACCATATGGAACTGCTCTAAACTGGCGGCCAACTTCTATTTCTCCAAATTGATAGTCCGTTCTTAAATTCAAATCTTTCCTACTGCTATCAAAAATTAAGAAAACATACAGTTTCTGCAAAATATGGCTACTCACAATAATTTGCTCAAGAATATAACAATTTTGAAAATGCAATGGAAGTTGAAAGTTAGGGTTGTTTGTCTGTGGGCAGTACCAGATCGTTATAATTCAGATGCTACTTTATCGATTGAGTTGGTTCTACAAGATGAAAAGGTATTAATAATCTGTTATTGTCTTTAATATGTTTTGCTAACTCTATTTTTTAATTTGCATATGTGTGTATTCATGAGATAATCATTAGCAAAAAACCCGATTGAAGTATCTGTGTACCACACATATGTATCCTCAAATATGTTTCTCCGTATCACGTTTTGCTTCTCTATTTTTAAATTTGCAAATCTTGATTTTTTTGCTCCGCTTTTCATATATTTTTTTAATTTCTATGTGTATATCCATGGGATAATCAGTAGCAAAAATCCGATTGAAATATTTGTGCACCAAACATATGAATTCTCAAATATGTTTCTAAGTGATATACTACAACATGTATCGCTGTTTTTGCTTCTCTGTTTTCTAATTTGCAAATTTGAATTTTTTACTTTCCTCTGCTCTTTGTATATTTTCTTAATCTCTATGTGCGTATTCATGGGGTAGTTCCTCTGAGAGTCTAGCTCAAATCATCTCCCAACAAAGTTTCTTTATCTATGATGAGTTAGCTAAGGGTGTTGTTCAAGTTAAAACAATTGGCGAATTAGTGGAGTCCATGCAAGTGAGTGAACTATTTTGTATTATATTAATTCAAGCATTCTTTAAAGTTAATAGTTGTTATATACACATCTGTTACAATGAATAACACATACGCCTAAGTGGTTGTGCGATAAAATCAAGCTAATTGAATTTAGTTTGTTAGATTAATACATATGTTGTCGAGTCCTATTAATCATGAATAGCATTGTTGTACCAAAAAATGTTTAACAATAATTCCTTTTAGGTTGTGTACTTTTATTAGCCAATAATATATATGTGACTAAAAGGTACCAGCCATACAAGTCGGACGCCTCTATGTTGCCTTTAGTCATGTTCCAAATTTCTCCAAGAATAAGCTTACTAGCGTACAAGCTAAAAGTGCAAAATGGATAGGGTGGTACCTATTGGAGGTAATCAAATTGACTTTTACAGGATGTTAAAGTTAAAAATAGTATCTTACATAAGAGGGAATAATGAAGTGATAGTATCTTCTCTGTTGCTACAATTTTCTTGCCGCTGAAAATTGAATTCTCTATATCCATGATTGAATTAATTGAGAAAGTTAGATTACCTTCTCTGTTGCATCAATTTTCTTGCAGTTGAAAGTTGGATTCTCTTTGGTTGGACTGTTTGACTGGAAATGTGTCATGAAAATTCTACTTTTGTTCCTCTGTACCTTTTTTATGGCTATAACAGAGAAATATTTCAGAATGGTGCAATTTATAAGATTGGTGAATGCTTCTCTATTTACTTTGATTCTAATTCAGAGGAAATAAAAAATATAAAAATATCACCAAGCCTCGATGACCCTTTTTCCATCACTATTTCTCAGTCATAATATATCCTCCATGAAACATATTTGATAGTTTGCGATAAACATTTAGAGGCATACATTTCAGGAACTTTATTCACCGATGTGAGTTTCTTAGAAGTAGAATAGGATTTTTCTGATATTCAATTTGGTGGTTATATATTGAGACAACTTAAAACTTAATTTAATTTTTTATTCTTCACTTACAACCGCTTGATTAGCTATTATTTAGACACCCTTGCATAATACTACACTAATCACCACAGCTATTACATAAATTCATTCGAGAAAGCTACAAGTACAATGATTACAATGTACTCCGATTTGATGAGAATGAGTATGATGAATCCTTAACTGGAGTTGCTTCTCTTGATTACTATTCTATGCATTAACAGTAAACTCATGGAACATCTTGAAGTACTAGACTGAGCTCCTTATCAAATTTGACAATTGATCATCCTCCACTTAAAAGGATACGGAAACATATAACTGTTAGGAATGTAAAATCTCCATGGATACACAGATGATTGTTTAAGATGCTTTCAGATACCTAGAAAGAGCAGGCAGCCTACACTTGACATTTTCAAGCTCAATAAAGCTGAGATGCAGCGATTAAAGTTTATTTGAACCAGTAATTGGCAATTGTCATTGATATGAGGCCACAGTCGCAAAGAGATGCAACACCAGGTGCAACACCATAAGTGATCAAATCTGTACGGTAATAAGCATTTTACTTCAGGTAATTCTAAGTCAGTTGTGATACTTAGAGAAATCACACTGACCAAGTAAGTTTACTATGCAAGCACCACGCTGAACTTTAGGAGAACTATTCAATTATATGTTCATATATCTGAAGGATTTTTCATGATGTTTAGACTTTTTAATTTGGCTTTGATGTTTCTATTTTCAAAGGCACATAGAAGAGGTACATACCTATTCTCGGTTCTTTGCATTTCCTTCTCAGTTTACAAACTCATGAATCATAAACTTTATGGAAACAACAGGTCTTAAGTAAAATAATATTATATCTTTGCAGACACGTTGATACTACGATCCATTGGTGCCATTGGAAAGAGAACTTCTGGAACCACAATATATAGAAGAAAAGGTCCATATTCTTTATACATTTATACATATATGCTTATTTAGTTATGGTATTCTGATATTATATTTTTCATAGATTTGCGCGTCTTGAGTAAAAATATCAAATCTCTCTACAGACACATCAAAGTCATGATCCGCTTGTGCCGTTGGAAACAAGACTTCTGGAACTAAAATATGTGAAAACTTCAAGTCTAGATAATTTGTATATTTAAACAGATATCCTTTTGCACTTAGTTCTGAATTTTTGTGATTATGCTTTTTCCAGCTTTGTGCAACCATACTCAAAAAATTATATCTCTTTGTGGGGACATCAAAACTACGATATGCTTGTGCCATTAGAAAGAGAACTTATGGAGCTACAATAAATAAAAATTTAAGGTCCAGATTATTTGTCAATTAATGCAGATATGCTTTTGAATTCAATTATGAATTTTTGGTATTCTACTTTTCACATATTTGAGTGTTATGACTAAAAAGATCACATCTATCTTGCATACACACCGACAACACTTTTGGCCATCGTTGCTAAAGTACCATTTTTCTTGGTTGAGTCGAACACAATAATTATGAAGGTGAGTTATGTACTTTTTTCTTAAGTAGCCAAAGTACCTCAATCAGGTTAACAAGTAGTAAAACATTATTCTGTATATTTTTTTGTGTGCAAGTTACTCATAAATGTGAAGATACTGTCAGTTAATACCATACCTCAGAAAGAGTTTGGGGGTCAATTCAAGTGGTTGGTCAATTAAGTACTATTAAGTTTGTGTGTCAAATATTTCATAAAACCATCAAACTTACCTTTCTACTAATTATTCTTTTTACTACTTTGATAGGGGTTGCGAGCAAGTTGTCGATACACTACTGCTTCTTGAGGAGGTTCAAATACACTCTATTTTTCATGTATCTCAACTCAAAAATTGTCACTCCTCTTGCCTTAATTGTTCATCTGTAGATTCATCAGGTCCAGTATATTCCTTGCCTCAAAGGCAGATGCAGACTTATATAATCTGGTAATGAGTCTGAACCTCTAATTTTAAAACATAATAGGTTTCAAGCTTAAAATATACACTCATAAAGTTTAATTTAGGTTTCGTTCCTGCCTTATCCAAGGTTGATCTTGCTTCCACATATGTCAAGATGGTTGGTGGTACTAATACAAGTGCTCATTCAATGGACATGCTTTGATCTAGCTGTTGCTATTTGAGAATTCTTTTGTGACTGATTCTTTCATATTACATAAACCTATGGCCCGAAATATTAAACTATAATATACTTCACCGCCAAGAAAATCGTGATGGCCGATGAAGTACACGATAAATATCGTCAAAGTCAAAAATACATAAGAAACAAATAAGTACTCTAGATCAAAATTATGAAAAGATTTTTACATAGCAATTTTGAATCGGTTATCGGAAATTTTAATTTTAAAGTTTATTTGAACCACCGATTGGCTTCATGATATGAGGCAGCAGTCAAATGAAGCAGCTGAGGCTCGGAAAGCAGCTGCAACACCAGCCACATCACCATAATTGATCAAATCTCTACTGTCACTGTATTTTTGAATTGCTTCAGCCTCTTTCAAGTTAGATGATACTTGTGGAAGCCAACCTAATCACGCAACTTTGCTATGCAAACAACAAACAGAAAAACCAAAAACAAAAAATTAAATTCAATACAATCATGGAGGGCTTATCAATTCAAGCAGCAATTTAATTGATGAATACAAAGAAATGGCATGTAATCTAAGCATACCAACAATATATTTAGAAACAACTCAAACAAATTCATCTATTTGTTTTTTGTTTTAATTTTAATTCTTTTGAATGTGATTTGTCTGCAATATACATCTTTTTGTAATATTTCTCTCCGCTCTTTTTTCCTTTGAACTAATCCGCGCATCGCGCGGGTACGTATACTAATTACTATTAAATATAGAAAAAGACATTCTTTTTTTTTTTTGAATAAATTTACAAAAAATAGATAAATTGAAACATATGGAGTAAAACATTACACCATGACAAAATATATGTAAAGGCATGTGATTAATGTCGTCCATAGACAAGTACCTACACAACCACCCTAACAAATAGGGGTAGAGGTAGAAGTTTAAATACGAGTTGGTCGAATCTTATAGCTTTATTCAAATTGTGTATTTATATTTAAACAATTTATCAAATAAGTACACATAATAAATTTATAATTTAATTATTCGCACTTAAAATCGTCGTTTTAAAATTCAGAACTTAGAAAGTTGAATTTCTAGCTCCTCTTCTAATAACAAGTTGCATAATATAACGGGAGAAATTCAAAAATAGCCAGATTTGCAAGTGGTCATTCAAAAATAGCCACAGTTTCAAAAGTAATCGAAATTTAGCCACTTTTCATGTAAGATAAATCTAAACGAAAACATTGTGCAAAATCCAAAAAATACTCCAGCATAATATACTAGAGTTCTAGCATAAGTATACTGGAACTCCAGCATATTATAATGGAGTTCCAGCATAAGTATACTGGAACTCCAGCATATTAAAATGGAGTTCCAGCATAAGTATACTGGAACTCAAGCAAAATAAACCGGAATTCCAGTATAATATACCGGTCCAGTATAATATGCTGGAAGTTCACACACAGGTGCTCCAATCTCCAGTATATTATGCGGGAACTTTTCGCGTGTTAGAGTTACAGCATAATATGCTGGAAGTTCATACACAAGTGCACCGATCTCCAGTATATTATGCTGGACCGGTCCCTGTTGCAGCAAAATAGTGACTATTTTTTAGTGACTTTGTAAATGCTGGCTATTTTTGAATGACCATTCCAAAAACTAGCTAGCCCATGCTATTTTAACTAATATAACTAACACTATATCCACATTGATAATGTAGGCTTCTCCATGTTGTTTCTTTCTCACTACTCACACCAATAGTGATCTCTCACTTACTTTCACGTGACACATTCTCAACTTATGTGTTGGAAGACAAGGTAGTTTTTCCTTTTTGCTCATTAGGTACTTTCTGAGACTAATAAAGGCTCGTTTGGCCATAAAAAAGATTTTTTTTTTTTTTTTTTTTGTAAAATTCTCTTTTTTCGAAATTAATTTGACCATGAAATTTTCTTCACTTGAAGATGAATTTTAAAATTTTTTAAAAATTTGAAAAACTTCAAAAGGTTATTTTTCAAAATTTTCACTTCATCACTCACAAAAATACCCCAAAATATATTCATGTCCAAACACATCTCTAATTTTCAATATCATTTTTACTAGGGCTGTTCAAAACTGAACCGTAACCGTTAATCTAACCGATGGCTTATTTGTTTCGGGTTATCGGGGTAATGATTGGTGAACGGATTAAAATTTTATAATTAACGCCTTAATGGTTAGGAGGCAGATTGCTCAATTTTATTATCGGAGAAATTGTTAACCCGTTAAGAATTTTTATATTAACACTTTTACCCCTATGTATATAAAGTATTTTGGATTCGGCTCGTGTCACGGACTTCAAAAGTTAAAGTGTTTATTCTTAGCTATGCAACCAAAAGAACTAGGGTTTAACTTTTTTTTATTTGATTTAGCCAAAAACCGTCTCATAACAGCCTGATAATCGTTAATCTGATATGAATCGGCCCGTTGTCTTATTGGATGGATAGCGGAATACTACATTTATAATTCGATAACCGATAAACCGAACTATTAAGCATAATAATCTGCCCGATAAGCACTTCTAATTTTTACTTGAACTTTTTTTTCATCTCTTTTTCGAAATTTTAAAATTCATATGTCCAAACGCCCACTTAGATAGTTAGATTCCCTTCACATACATATATTAGGGGGGAGCACTTTTTATTGAAGAATTCTCTATTTTGAGACACAACTAGAAATATCTAATTAAAGTGGAGATGTTATAAATAGAATTTTATTTATGGTGAATGTCTATATTTAGGGAGATTCTAGGGTTTATTACTTGGTGGCTAAGTCACTCTCTCCCTATAAATAGAGGGTTCTATTCCATTGTAATTCATCCAAAAATCAATAAGAATTTTCTCTCCCTACTTTTCTCTGCAATACTATTCTTCTTCTTTTATTGTTTCATAACACGTTATCAGCACGAGACTCTAACCAATTGAGTAGAAGATTTGGGATTGAGCATAATGATTGTCAATTATTCCATGAACTTTCTTCATGATTAAATTCTGGATTTAAGGTAAGTCTTTTACCGTATTTTTCTCTTTTATTCTATACTTTGATTTTAAATACAAGCAAAGACAACAAATTTTGTTTGCAACTCTAATGGAGTTTGAAAGAAATTATAACCACCCAAAGTGGTAAAATTTCTATGCCTCGCCATGATCAAATTCATGTATGATTGTGGGCAAAGAATTGAAAACCCGTCCCATTGAATTTGCTCCATTCTCATTCCCTTTAGAGAATGTGATAGCAGTATGTGATAAGTCTGAAAGAAGATAAAATTATTACTATGAAGGTATCAATGGATGTGGACGTGGCAATAGACGAAATTATAATCGTCATCATTGTGATACTGAGAATAATAAGGATTCTTAAAATAATCCTTCACTATGTGAAAGTAATATTTGTCATCAATTTGACATGAGACTTTATAAAGCACATATAGATGATTATGGTCCATTCATGATGTGAATGTGACAACATCTGATTTATGAATACATATTCATTCTTCAAAGAATATGAACGTGCTAGTGGTAGTGAATATACCACACTCACCTCTAGGAGGAGGTTTGAGATGATATAAGAAAACAATGTCATTATTATGACATGAATGGTCATTGGTCACGTACCTATTATACGCCAAAATATTTTGGTAATGTGATTATTAAAGAATAACATTAATGCAAGAAACATATCTTGCATATAATTTTGACCATAACCATAATGGTATAACTTTCTCTTTAAAAGAGATATTCACCATATGGATGTTGATGAATATGTGGTAGTACAAAATTAATTGAGAACTCTGCAAGAGCCAATTATACTATTTTGGAGAAACACAATTGATTACCAACAAGGTATTGTGTTGTAGTAAGTCTCAAAGAAACTTATTCAATTTCTAAAGTATTCGCGAAAGCGGTTGGTCATACTGAGACTATAAATAAAGAAAAGATTTAATATCTTCTATTACCACTACTTGTAGCGGGGTAATATGTATGTGAAAAGTTACCCGCTTTATTCTCCAGTTTGTACTACACAAATAAAACAATACCATACTAAAGTGGATGTTTATTGATATAAAAACCCATATAATAATAAACTTGAAGTTTATTGATAATTGCACACGTCATGGTGTAAATCTGAAGTTTATCGATATTGATAATTTATTCAGTTGGCATAATTGGTTTCGCCATATCAATTTAAGTATTATGTGCAAAAACAATAGAGAATTCACATGGGTAAATATTAAAGAACTAGAAAGTTCTTTACGAATTCTCTTATATTGCTTGTTCTCATTAATTAATAGATCAACTAAAATTGGGATTCAATCCCATGAATACTGGAAATATCAAAGGTGAATATGGGCCCATTCACCTGCCATGTATACCACATAAGATGCATCTATAAGATGGTTACATGTGCGATTATTAATAACCCGCAACATGGTATTTTGCGAGGTAACTTGCTCAATAATTTAATTTCGAGCATAATTTTCAGATTTTTTATTCAAGATAGTTCATCTTGATAAGTTGGTTTACATCAGAGTTGGTTTAGAAAAATGATTCATTGAGTGCCTCCACTTAATAGCTAAACGATTGCTTATGAGAACAAAGTTATCTATATCAGTTTGATATACGTTATATACCAAAGTATATTATTTTCTCCCCTCACAAGTGGTTCAGGGTCAGGAACCAAATAATTCCATCTTATTATTATTGATGTGCGGTGTATATTTTGATTAACACCATAACGCACAAAGGCGGATTCTCAAAGTTGAGGTACCAAGTTAGTTTTTCTAACATGAGGGGGAGACATGATAAACAGTTGAGAAAAAGTTACATGGAATGAATTATTATTTATACATCTCGATCCTCGAATAAGATAATATGAACTTGAAGTTCATAAAGGATAATTCATGTGCAATATACTGCAAAGCATGCCGGACGCATTTGCTGACCCAAAGAAAGTAACTATAATCTCATTGCAAATGCTCATATTA